ATCATTTAGAAATCTTAGATAATTAGATTTGACATTGCCTCCGGAATTGGTTATGTTTGAGCATAGCGGGCTAGGAATTATATTTTCATTTCCACATAAATTTGTAGACAGCTTCCTGTTTTTGGGCTGTTTAGAAATATTAATTGAAGTATTTTCATCGGCTTCTTTTCTCTTCTTCATAGTGAGAACTTCATAGGGTTTAATATTAAGGAATAAGAAAATATTTTCGCTTGGGGTAATCACAATTTATTTATATGTAGGATATGGAGGATACCTTTAAATTTGGTATCTAATAATAACGACTAAGATTTGATTAAAGATTATTTCCCGTCCTTCATCTAATTAATTAAACGCAAATATTTAGCAGCAAAAATTACAGTAGCTAACAAATTGGAAAAACATTGATTAGGGGAAAACGAATCCATTAGAGCACGAGTATATAGGGCCATGTTTGTGTTGCGTTTATAAGGCCATATATAATGAAATATTTAATAAAGCCCAAACAATTGTATGGTTAGTTTATAATTTAAACGGTGAGGATTAGAAGCTTCCACTTTCAAACGAACGGCTGAGATTAAAACATATAATTTTTGGCAAAAAAAAATCAAACGGTTAAGATTAGAAGATCCTCGCATTTATCCGTTTCCAGAGTGTTTGACAACAGGTTTACGATTTTTATACTATAATTTTCATTAGAAAAAATAAATAAATGTTACTGTTTGGCGACACGTTTATCGCTTTTCTTTTAATAGTAATGATATGTCATAATACAATCTCATTGACTTTAGCTCTCGATTAACTATATTTCTTACGCCAAATAAAGGTAAATTTGTGAATGTTAGTTGTGATAATGGCAAGTCGTGTCTTTTTAAAATATAAATTTTCTTATTTTGTGTGATACTGGAAATCATAAAAAAACATTCCCTAAATCATACACATCTTAAGTTCTTATAAATACTTTCTATTAGATAAACGATATGCATAAAGCGTTGTTAGAGCAAGAAGCTGCATACAAGACGCTGACACGAGAGCACAAACAGATCAACGGTTTGTTTGGAAAAGCAATAATCAAGAAGCTAAAAGATGATTACAACTAAGCCTGAGAGATGTTGGAAGAGTACAATACTGAGGAGAAAGAAAAGATAATGCAAGAGACTGATAAAGATGTTGCGTCGAGGGAATCCACGATTGTAATTCTGGAAGAAACTGTAGAGACTTTACGTAATGAAGTAGAGATGAAAAGAGAGGAGATAGAGAGCTTGATGGATAAATAACCAAACAAGTGTTATAGAGAAAGAAGGAGAGTTTAAGAGAAGATAAGCTAAGCATTTAGAGGAACAAGCAGCGACGGACCTATGTATAAATTAGGGGGGTCAATTGACCCGGGTAATATCTTAAAATATTTTTTTTTTGCATGTAAAATATGAAAGTTCCAGCAGGAAAGTTGGTTTTCTATAGTATATTGACACCCCTAAACCCAAGTTCAATACTCCTATTTAGTGCCTTTTTTTTTGTTTTTCTAATATTTATCTGCTAAAAAAATTTATTCACCCGGGTAAATTTTTCACTTGGGTCCGCCACTGGGAACAAGTATTGCTTAAGGAGAAGATTACAATGACAAATGAAACATATTTAGGTATGATCAAAGAGATCAGAGAGAGTGAATTCAAAAATACTAAATAGATTATAATTCCTGTATGAAATACTTAATGAGAAGCACAAAAGCTATGTGGAGAGGGTGGCTAATGTGACAAAGATGCTTTTGGCAGCGAAGAAGTATGTGGTAAAGTGATATATCATGGTTTTTACGGGTTTTTGGTCATGATATAAGTCATATTTATAGAGCTTTTCTAGTGTTTTCGAGTCTTTTTGAGTCATTTCAGAATTAGGAACTACTTGGCATGGATTGGAGCTTTTTGGAGCATTTGGGAGCATTTGGAGAAGATGTGTCGAAGGAATGTACCGGGAAAGCATATTTGGTGTGAGTGTCGAGCGTCACAACTTCCGGTGTCGATCGACACCAATATCTGACGGCAATTGAATTTCTCGCTTAATTGAAGTTCAGAAGATTTGCAATTAAGCCCAGTTCGTGGTTAAGACATATATATTGAGTTTTTAGGGTTTTGTTAAGACGGAAGCTTTATTTTTTGGAGAGAGAGAGATTTGTAGAGAGTCAGGAGAGAAGAATCAAAACCTCCTTCAGAGAAGATTCAGAACTCCTTTACTTCTTCTATTACTTTCTTTTATGATATCTATTTTATTCATGATGTTTGTTTCATTCACCATGTCTGAGTAGATCTCTTGTTAGGTTTAGGGTTTTCAAAGGAATTCATGAATTGTTAGGTTGTTAGATTGTTAGGATTTAATC